TATAGCTTTGGATCTCGAATCAATTCATTCGCAAGAACTCGTTCATAGAGATTTACACAGTGGAAACATTTTGCAATGGAGTGCTTTGCACGACGCATATATTACAGATCTTGGACTTTCTAGAAAAGCAATGGATGGAAAAATTTGTGGAATTTTGCCATATATAGCACCTGATATTTTGATGGGCCAACCGTACACTCAAGCGTCAGATATTTACAGTCTTGGAGTTATCATGACAGAAATCTCGACCAGTCAAAGAGCATTTGATGGAGTTCCATTTAATGATTATCTTGTATCAAGAATAATCGGTGGATCAAGACCTGAATGTTATATTCAATTAGCTATGAAATGTATGGATGAAGATCTTGGTAACCGACCCAGTGCTACAGAAATTACTGAAATAATCACTCATTGGTTAGATGAAGTGGACCAGGAAGATGATAATGAAATCAAAAAACAAATTTTGGAAGCAGATTTGATTATACCAGAACAAACTAAACAAACACATACACCAGACATATATACTAGCAAGTTATATGACACTAAAAAAATTTAGCAAGCCATTTAGTGCAATAGAAATCTCAAGTGAATTCTAAAACTTATTTTTAAATTAAATTTTATAAAATGTGTTTATTTTTATTTCTGCTTTTTGTATGTTTTATTGAATTTTTTTTTTTTTCCCGAAATATTAATAATAATAACCCTGTATAATCGCAAGTTTGGCAAAAAAATGTGTTTATAACATTCGATGTAATTGTAAGGAATGAGTAATATAGAGGGACGGCTGTATGAAATTTATATTCATTCGTGAGTTGTCTTACTTAACAAGAGGTGTGTCAAAAAATTTTAAAACTGTTTTCTTTTCAATTTATCTAAACAAGTAATCAATTTCGTACTTATTTCTATTTTTCTTGGCAATCAGTCTGTGATTATTATTGTTTATAATGTGATTAATGTACGGATATAAAAATTTGACTCAAGTTTGAAGCACTGTTTTAATAAACTAGCATTTACCTTTGCGTACAGACTTGTAATAAATCTACTACTATGTACAGATTCGCGATAAATATTTACATTTACGTATAGATTTAGATTTATATTATTAAGAGATTTGTTACTAATTCACATATCGGGTGAGTAAAAGTTTCTGAACAGGGACCTTTTTTACTATCTCTACTAGTATTGAATCTATAGTTATTATTACTTCCAACTTCCACGTAATACTAGCATAAATGTTAAGCGATAATCAATAATACGTTTATCAGCGATTAAAAAAAAGGTTCATGCCAAAAATTTTAATCAATCTGAATGCTATAGTTCAAAAAAAAATTCATAGACATAGTTCAAAGCAAGTTAATTTTAGATTAATATGCTTTGAATTCTTTTTTTTTTATATGGAGTTTCTGTGTACAGAAATTATTTATTAACAGTTTATATTAAAACTAACGTATGGTGTACGATTTTATAATTTTGACCTGTACGGAAATGACCCTTCTCCGCAGAGGTTTCATTAATAGAAGGATACTGTATTCAAGGGCCCTATTTGGGTTCGGTTTTTTTACATTGCACTAAAATGTAAATTCCAAGTCGACCATGTTAAAAATATTTAGCCATTAAATACTTCGGATTGGCTCCGGATTCAAACCTTAATCCGAAACGGAACACTAGTGCCGGTAAAACATTCTACTTTCAATATTTAGATATGTTGGATTTTTCAGGACGCGACTACATGGCAAAGATGTAATATTTAAAAGCTTATATCAATAGAAATCATTGTATATATCAATTCAGATTGAACTGGAAGCTCAAAATAAAAAAAATGAGACTCCTTTATAATATTTAGTGATACAATTGTGTTTTAAGTCTTTAAATAATTAACTTTACATTTGTAAGGTCAAAACTCTTAATTTCATTAATTTCTGAATAGCGACAACATGGGTCTGTTCCTTGAAAATCAAGTTTTGATCATATGGGCGCTTTGAAGTAGAAAGGGCGGAAACTACCAAAAAAATGAAAATGAGTTTTTATTAGATTCGGGTAGACTTCGATGTGATCAATATTTTTCAATTATAAATGAAAGTCGATTTGCATAATAAAAAATCGAGATAATGCAAGTGTATCACGAGATTGCCCGTTAATCACATGCTATTTTTAACCAATAAAAATCGTAAAATTTTGATTAACCCGGATCAGTCCGAAAACCAAAACAAGTGATTAAACTCAATTATCTCAAATGGGATATATTCGAGTTTCCGCCCTTTCTATTGCAAAGCGCCCATATGATTTACTATGTCCCGTAAGGTCATTTTCAAGGAACAGACCCCATATATTAAAAACTTCTCTGTTGAGTTTTTGAAGTTTTTTTTTTTGAAACGTGACATCAACCTTATTATTTGTTCTTCACAGAATTGCTTATGAGTAGAATAAACTTGGCTGGTTTTATATATGTATCTTATATATTTGCGGAGCTAAGTTAGTTTTAAATAATAAATTTCATTCTTATATTAACGATTTCGAGTTATTGAAATGAAAGTGACTTATTTTAATTTCATTCTTATCCTTGTTTGGTACGAAATTAACTAACTTAGAATGTCGACCCTAAAAAAAGTATTTAATATTATGGATTTAGATGATCGTTATCAAACTCTGCAGCAATGATCTTTAGATTTGGAGAATTTGGTTTAATTCTATCTGAATTGAACCTTGCGGATGCTGGTGTAGTTGTTTATCTAGACAGTATTGTATTCATATTACAAATATTTAATGCCATATGAAAATGTCATTAATATCCAGACAAAATTTTTTAATTCGTCCTATGTACCTTAGTTTAAATAAAATGCGTATCAAAAATGCCAATACTGTACGAAATTAAAATATCTTGACGTTGGATATACACACATAACTGATAAAGGAGTAAAAGTTAATATCTTTTTTACGCGTACCCGAATTTTTCGTAATCAATTATGACACATTTATCATATGGGCTGCCGTCAATAGAAATCAAGCAGATCTACAAAATCCTGATTTTGAGAAAATTGATGTTTTTTGTAATGTAACACAAAAAGTAAACAATTCCGACCTTGATTCCGAACCTGATTCCGATCTTAATTCCGAACCTGATTTCGGCCACATCAAGTTTTTTGTGTATTATTACACAACGTATCGGTATACACGAATTCAACTATTTTTGCATATTTAGATTTTATAGACGGCTATAGTTTGTTTTTTTTTTTTTGAAAAAACTGTATAGTAAGTGTTAGACGTTTCAGAAGAGTTATCAATCTTATTAACACCGGAAGGATCAATTTTAGAATCACCACTTTTGATAGCTTTAGAAAAATCATTAGAAAAATTGCTTTACAACTACTTTCATAATTCCTGGAACACCTAATAAAAATTGACCGAATATTGTTCTGGCCGATTCGACCTAAAAGTGATGAAAAGTTTTTATATTATATCTTTGAAAGTGCTTGAGAACCTGACTCATAGAAGACCTGTTAACACCTAAGTGTTTGGCAATTTTTCAATCTAATAAATGTTTTCAATTATTTGCTTTGAAATAATATTTCTGTATTCAACCAAAAAGATTACGTACGTTGTCACAGTGAAAGTTGGTTCAATAATGGAACCCAAACTAACTCTTTAATCTGGAGGTTCGATATTAGACACTGGCTAATACTATACAAGTTAGAAATCCTTTCTTCACCCTATTTGGTAGGCTTCGATCAAGCGTGGTTGGTTTAGTCTAAGTAATAGGGTGCCCTACGTTACTGCGGCAGTCACGAGACCAGTACTTAAGAAACTCCAACACTGGTACTAAGATTTTATATTACCCCTATTGCTTATTTTGTACCTTTAACTTTATTTCTAATTTCCACTATCTCTGTTTGCAGCTATCCAGGTGCGCCTGACCTAATTTCAGTCCACGTGATTTATTTCAGCATTCAAGGATGCTGAAATCGAGTAATATAATGACGTAACAATGGTATTGATCATTGCTAATTTTTATATAAAAGGGGGTTCGATTACTAATACGATCTTTCTCTTTTACTTTAGACTAAATAACGAATGTGGGTCTAAAACGAATCACGGGGACAAGTCAAATACGGTATAACGAAAGACGACAATGTTAATAACTCAAAAGGGCATTTGGGAACTACTACTAGTTTTTCTTTTCGTAGTTTTTGAACTCAAGGGGAGTTACCCTTTATTGACAGTGAAATGTTGTTGTTTAAATACATTTTCGTTTTATTAATTTTTTGCTTTACATTTCTTCAACATCCACCTTATCTGCTCTATCGGTCATATATGGTATATTTGTCATGTCTGCCGTATCTGACATATATGGTAAATATGGTCGATTCGTCAGATATAGTGGATTAGGTCGAAACGACCCAAGCCATCTTGGTATCGATTATTTTTCACTCTCACAACGTACGTATTAGTCTTATAATCTAGGTCATCATATCTTGAATTATATATATTAATTATGCCACAATCACAAACTTAATCGAATCGGCCGGAATTTCATTCGGCCAATTTTTATTAGGTGTTCCAGGAATTATGAAAGTAACTGTAAAGATAACGATCTTCCAAGATACAGTATGTATTAAAACCTTTACAAACTGTACAGAATGCAGAATGCTTATTAAAATTGGTTTATTTCTAAACAAAATGAAATGTATTTAATTGAATAATATCGATGACCTACCCAAGATACAGTACGTATGTATTATATTAAAGTCAAATACGATCTTCTCAAACTGTACAGGATGCAAAAGGAAGTTGTTAATAAAATTAGTTTATTTTTGAACAGGATGAAATTTTTTTAATATATAGATTGAATTTTTATGCTGTATATGATTCTATACGGCTTTTACATTAGATACCAAATCATGTCATATGTAATAAGTGCTATTAACATTTGGTTTATAATTGTTACTTCCGGATCTAGGTTAGGTTGGTTGGTTAGTAAATTCGGGTTAGTTGATCAATGGGCATTAGTTGTTCGAATAAATCAAGATACTGTCATTATTAGCAAGCCAATTTGCAATAGTTTTCCATTGAATGTTGAATAATAGAGATTGTCTAGATTCAGGTAATATTTTATATTTGTTGTATGATATTTAATTTAATTCAATTTGTAATTAATTTAAAAACGACCCGACATTAGATAATCCCTAAAATGAGCAATATTGTATCTTCGAACCCTGGTAAAGTTTAAAAATTTTATCAGTAAGAAGTTATATCATTGACACCTAGTAAAAAACAATGCTTCCTGATTATTTTATTTGTAATACGCCAAGATTGTAGCAGCTTTATTTTCACTGTATATGGCATAATGCCCCAAGTCAGGAGAGCAATACGCGTATATATACAGATTAGCTTTTGGCACTGCATATAAGTTGGGACCAAGCCAAGTCATGCATTTAGGGAGGTATGACTGTATTTCTCTAATCCGTAGCCTTCTACTTTATCTTTATTATTCTTCATATGTTATTCCTCCTACTTTGTTAATGAAAGGATCATTTATAATATCCCACTCTATACCGATTTAGATATAATTCATAAATTGTCGTTACTACAATAATGAATAAATGAAGTCATAGAATTTTTCCACCATGCGATTATGATACAATTTTTAGATATTAACAAAAATTAGCATCGCAATGGATTGATTTTAAGTTACTAAAGCAATTAAGCTAATGAGTTTTATTAATATCATCCTAATTTAAGTTTAATGCCCTCACCTGCGATTATGATACAATTTTTAGATATTAACAAAAATTAGCGTCGCAATGGGATTGACTTTAAGTTACTATGAACTTCTAAAGTAATTAAGCTAATGAGTTTTATTAATATCATCCTAATTTAAATTTAATGTCCTCATATTATATAACATGTCCAAACAATAAGCGTACTAAACAGTTATAATAATTAAATATGTTATTTTTTTTTCCTTCTAAAATAAACACTTCGGCTTAAAATCTCTAATCATTGTTATTTATTTGTAGGTAAGATAAAATTAAAATTTAGCAGATTATTTAATTGATCAATAGGAATTCATTCGATTACTTTATATTTTGTGGCTTCAAGTTGAAATTTTTTAATACAATCATCAATCTTTTCGTTTTCACTTGTCTATTTTTGAATTTTTCTCGGAGGATTACATGTATAATACTAAGCGGAAGAGGTATTAAATTGTATTCGCACATAACATTTTTGTATTTTCTTTTTAAAGAAAATTTATAAACGCTATGTATCCATTAGTAGTTATATTTCATATATTTTATGTTCATTTCTTCCAATTGCATATAATCTTTAAACCAAAGTTAGATAAGAAATTGCTATTATTTATGAGGTTTTTTTGGTTTGGGATCTTGTGGTTTTGGACAATAAAAATCGCGTTTAGATGGATTTTGAATATGTTGTCTTACTTCCTCATATAGGTACCATTGTCTTTCTAAGCTCAAGCTGGGAGGAGTTATTTCATCGGGAAATTCATTTTTAGTAGGTAGTTTAGTATTTGCACGAAGTAAATTTACTATCGTTTTGTCACCATTAATTTCTGCTTTGATTTCAACTTTTCCTAAAGAGTTATGACTCAATATAAAGTGATGCTGTCGAAGGATTGATGGGATCATCGAAAAATAAGTATTCAAAAATTTTGTCCATTGATAAAATTTAACCTGTGTTGAACCATCTGGTCTATTAAGAGTTTGAGCAACATTAAACCCGCCTAATGTAGAATTATTAACAACTTGAACAAGATCATCTAAGTCGTCTACTTCTGAATCACGTAATTTAAGCTTAAAAAGTCCAAAAAATCCGTCTGGACTAAACTTGGTATGTCCTGCAACCATAAATGAGTATGTGATTTTTTCATGCAATCCATTTATAATTCGCCAAGCGAGATATTTAATTACTGCATTGTTTTTGTTCTGCCCTGCGCAGTTATCAGCATGGATAGTCACGCACTTTTCGCCAAGCCCATGTAAGGAAAAATAATTATGCACTAATGAAATCACTGCGTCAGCACCTTTCCCGACACCTTGACCTTCAGGTATTAAATAATTTACCTAAAATATATTTTAATATTAAAATAAGTACTATTTATTTCCCACAAAGGTACAAATAAAAGGCAAATTCTCTATTAACTGAGAGTCTTTTGTCTCAGATAATTGAAATTTATTTTCCCCAAGTGGGAAATAAAAGATTTATTCTTTGTTTAATATAAAGTATGATGGGTTTTTCGACTTAATAACCTTTATTTTATAATTTCTTTTGGTCGCAAACTAAAAAAATTATCAAACAAATCTTTGCCTTTAATCATACGATTATGTTGGCTAAACGAATTTAAAACTTTTACTATTAATAATATAATATTATTATGCTAAGATTATAAAAATCGTCTTAAAAACTTATCTTTTATCATACTATTGCGACGGCTGAAAGTTTTTAAAAACCTTTACCCAAATAAAAATTAAAAATTACAGTAAAATTTTGTTTACTGATTAGTAATTGTAAGTTGAAAAACCCATCATGCAATCTTATTGAAATGTGAAATATCGTAAATAGCCGGATAAAAGACTCAGATCTCTTACATCCTATCCATGTTAAAACCTATAATAGATACTGGGTATATTTCATGGCTGAAAGTTTGTATACTTAAAGAAAGTTTTCAAGAGTATACATTTACATATCTAACAGGTGTTTAAATATCTAAAAAAGAAAGACAGTATTTAAATATTTAAAAAAAAACACGTATTTGGTTTCTTAATTCGCATCCAGGTATAGTATATAAGAGGTCTACTATTGTAGAGAATCTTTTATCTGGCAATTTACGTTACTAAAATTTAATAATAAAAATTTAATACTTGTCGTGGAAATGCTTCTTCGCATATACCAAAAACTCCAACCTTAAATAATGATTTAAAATAGATAGCTCCCTGTATTTAAAATAAATAATTAATATAATTTGATAAAATTTTAATTATGTATATAAAATGAACTTTCCTCTTGTTGCGATGAAAATGGCAAATGCACACTTTCAGCGAAATCCCACGAGATATGATTTTCTATATCTTGTGAATTTGGAATACCAGGTCGTTGTAAATTATTGTCAAATTTTCTAATTTCTTCTTTAGATGTAACAATGCATTTTCTACAAATATTTAATAAGATTAGTTTTAAATTATTATATAATTTAAAATAGAGAATTTCTATTTGTACGCTAGTGTATGTAATATGGGTATATCGATATCTCAAAATTTCGATTCTAAAACCCACTTCGGGGGTTTTAACAAAAAAGATTTCTTATAAAAATTTTAGTATAAGTTATAACTTTAACCCTTAACGTTAAGTTAACTTTACCCTAACTTAAAATCAGGTTTATATTCTACATACACTGTATATTAATAAAATCATTATTTACCGATAATACTCTCGTTCCAAACTAGCCCAAGAATAGTGATTAGACCATTCATTGATTTTGTTTAATGTTTCAGATTGAGTCCATCGCTTAGCACTAAATCTCATTTCCTTACATTGCATACAAAGATCACTACGTGCAGTTAAGAACTTGATTCCTGGAAGATAACGTTTCCAAATTCGGCTAAAGCTTGATTGACTAACTAAATAATTATTTTCATCATTAATATCAACTGTATCATTATAAAGACGAAACAATGAATAATAACTTTCACACGCTGGTAAGTATATAATAGAGCGTGTATCTTCACGAAAATGACGACCTGTTTTTAATTATATAATTTATTAATATAATTATTTAGTATATTAATTTTAAACAGGTTATAAGTATTACCAGGTGAAGGAAGACCATGTTGTATAGCAAAATTTCGAATAAACGTTAGTATACGTAATACTGTTTCAAACTTAATAGCATGATTACTAACACGTCCTTTAAGACCATGAACTATAGGACTTATATCATTTTTTGAATAATGCGTTCGAATTGCTTCCCATTTCGATTTTCCAATTGCATAGATAGTAAGCCAAGCTTTTTGGCAAACCGAAACCCCTTGAAATTTATAATTACTTGTTATAAGCTGTTTACTTTCTCCACGGTCATTAGTTGATTGTCGTACACTAGCCTCAAGAATTCCTAAAAAAAATATATTTTTTTCTGCCGCTGACATTATTCTAATCTTACAAAATCTTTTAAGGGCTTCGTTGTGATTAATAGAAACACTAAAGCATTTTTTATTACAACAATCCATTTGTTGAATTTTAGTTAAAAATGCTTGATTGTCTTGTTCAGACATTTGATTTTTTTTTTCTTCGTATTCCATAAAGTTTTGTATTAAATTGGTTTGATAAATTTGTCGAAATAATGCAATTTCCTGCTGTGTAAAAAAATCTGACTCATAACTATCAACATATTCGATTGTACTATTATCACTCGCTCGATTTTCAATAAAAAATTCTTCTTCATCTATTAATTCATCACTATCCTTAGTCGTATTATAATATTTATATAATTTATTAAACTCGTCATTTAAAGTAGTTAATTCAGAATGTGTTTCAATAAAAATACTATCAAAAAGTACATTTTTATTTATATTTTCATTCATAGTTAGTAAAATACAGAAGTGGTGTGCAATAAAAATACAATTTAATGGTAAGTGAAATAGTTATACGGTCCTCTTTATTTCATTGTTTCTATATTTGTATATTATAAAACTTTTATATCTGAGTGTCGCAAAGGGAAAACCTGAAAATCTTAGATAAAGATTCAGGGGTTTCCTTTTGCAGCACTCGTATCAACATTATGTATGCATAACGATAGGATCTAATAATACTTCTAATACGTGTGTATAAGTTATGCCTTGTTTTTACTCGTTTTATTCATAATTCTACCTGTATTATCTATTTTGAGTTATCAATTATGCATTCGCATAAATTTTCCTATTTCATACCAGACCCGATTCCTTATTTTTTGTCCATACTGAGTCCATATCGTACAACCCACAATCCAAATACGACAATAATTTTGAATTAAAAAAAGGAAAAGCATCTTAAAATATTTAACTATTCGATTAATGAACTTGGATCAGAA